GGTTTTCTTCGGGCACTCCGGTTTCCTCCCACACTCCAAAGACATGCTGGTAGGTTAATTGGCTCCTGTCTAAATTGGAAAGGGGGGGGTGGATAACAGGGCTTGGTATTTTAGAGCAGCACGGACAGAGTGAACAGGAAGTTAAAGGTTCATTGTATTTCTGGCATAATCAACAATCAAAGACCAGTACAAACATTTGGAATGGGACTTTTGTGGTACCAAATTTCTAACCCAAACTGAAACAAGTTAAAATATCAGGAATTTGTATTATAAAAATAATATAAAATCATAAAACAATTGCATATAGATAATAGATAAAAATACACTGGGCATAAAGTTGCAGTGTTAAAAGAATCCTTTACCCATGCTGGCTTTCTCAGGAAGTATACATGTGCGAAGGAGGCAAGCAGAAATGCAGAACATACATGTAAGATACAAATGTTCATAACAAAATTCATAAAGGAATTTGCAAACTCAGTCACAGGTCAAAAAAATCAAACCCAACAAAGCCTTATCCAGCCCCAAAGAACTCAAGCCCGCACTACGAGAGTATTGCCAAGTTGACAAGGGATATTGCAACAAATGACCCCCCCCCCCCCGGATAGCAGGCACCATAGGTATGCAGGGCAGACCACAGATGAGGTGTACAGACCAAGATAATAACAAGATTTCATTAGTTTCCAAGCTCTTTTTCAGTGTTTTACATTACTTTTTTTATATCCATTATATTACTTACTAATAAGGAATATAAAACACATTATGTCCTCAAGAGGAAGCCAGACCTTCACTGCAGAAGTTAATCCATTTAAATAAGGGCTACAACTAATAGAAAAATAAGGGGGGGGGGGGAATCAGTTACTAGCCTGGTTAATGAAGTCCCTCATAAATGGAGACTAATCTTCACTTCACATAGAAAAGACAATAAACATAGTGATGACAAGATATTAGTACTATACCTCTTTAGTGCATTACCTCAGGACAAATAAGCAATCTTCCTATCCTTTCAATATAAGCTGAGAGGTTTTCTATAAACACAGAGTACAATTTAGAAATGGGGAGGTTTTTCCCACGAATAACAAAATAATAATCCCTAATTTTACATAGGACATAGCTTACAGCACCAACCAAGCATCTGACTGACTGACTGGCTCTTTCCCGGACTCCAGCAAGATGGCTGCCGGCATCGAAGCTTATATACTCTTTCCACCCCACTGGCGTGTGATGTCACAGCAGGGCGCAGACCACACTGTGCACTGTGCCCCCACTGCTACCCACCCTCTAATCAACCTGCACTAAAAAACAAATACTGCATCTCCTGTGGGACAAAGCCCCACCAGTGATGCTTAGGCGGTCGCTGGCAAAACCTGCACAGCACCACCTAAAGGATGGGCAGGAATAGAACGGAGGTGGAAGATGGAATGATGACAACTCCACTCAAGTAGACGGGATAGTAATCCTGTGAATGCCGGGCAGATACCTTTCTAGGTGGGAGAATTCTGGGACCTGAGGAGTGGGGAAGAAACAGCAGGAACCTATGCAGGACATCAGGAAAAGCAGCAAATTCCCCATGACACATAATCCTTAATGCCTGGGCATCCATACGGTTGGCCCCTAGCATCCATACTTGATGCCACCATGTGGGTCCCATGGAGAAAATATCACCCCACATAAATAAGCATGTAATGACTCAAAAGGTTGACATCTCCCCTGCAACACTCAATGAGTCAGCTCATACCTGAACAAAAATACAAAGTCAATTGGTATACATAAATGAATCATGTAGTCCATTCTGACATACAAAATAAATTCATGATTATATACACACAATATATTACCATTACCAACTCCACAAAAACAACAAAATTAAAGTGAACTAGTAATGCAAAAGGTTGAAAGAAGGCTCCAGATGTAATAAAGGGAACCTAGGGAAGGTGTGCAATTAAAACCATCATTAAGTCCTGGATAACATATAGCCTGCAATGAATGGATCCATCTTTTCTCATTTCTGATGCCCCCCCCCCCACCCCCGTTTATGTGTGGGGACATGTTCCAGTGCAAACAAATGTGTTGACTAATGGGGGTTTCTAACTTTCTCTTGGAAATCAAAGAAACATGAATCCTAGTAGTTTTTTATTGTTTAGTCTTGCCAACATAAAAAGCCCCACACCTGCACTTCATAAGATAGCCACTTGACCACCACCCTATAGCAGATTTACTGCTACAGGGCAGACGTTCTGTACAAAATCACATATAAAACCGTGATTTTGTACTTCCACCGGTGCCTGCACACCACCGGAGTGCCGTTTCTGCTGTGATTGGACACAGTAGAAGCCGATCAGACGGTGCTGGCCAATGGATGAGCACCGACACCTGCTGATCACCAAGGAGACTGACAGAACACAGTTCTGCCTATGTAAACAAGGCAGAGCTTGTGTTCTGTCAGCGGCGATCTGCTAGATTTTCTTTCCCTGCAAAGCAGAGAATAACATCTAGCAGATTGCCTTTTAAAAAACAGCATACACAGTGCACAAAAACACTTGTTAGGCACAATGTTAACCCTCTGATTGCCTTAGACGTTTAACCTTTTCCTAGCTAGTGTCATTATTACAGTGATAGAGTGTACTTTTAGCACTGATCACTGTATTAGTGTCACTGGTTCCCACAGTGTCAGTTAATGTCACTTAGTGTCAGAATATCCCCTGCAAAATCACAGTCCCGCTATAAGTTGGTGATTGCCGCCATCCCTAGTATTGAAAAAAAAATCCAGTATATATAACATAGTTTGTAGACGCTATGACGTTTGCGCAAACCAATCAATATACGCTTATTGTGATTTTTTTTACCAAAAATATGTAGCAGGATACATTTTGGTCTAAATTTATGAAGAAATTAGATTTTTAAAATTTTTTATTGGATATGTTTTATAGCAAAAGTAAAAAATGTTACATCCTTGTCTAGTTCCATTAGACATTTTAAAGAACTGAGAGAGGGATCCAATGACCTTAACCGCAGCTGATGGGCCGTTATATAACCCTTTTATCCATCTTAACATTTTAGGCCCTAATCCCAGGGCCTCTAGCGTTTCAAACATAAATCCCCAGTTGAATCTATCAAAAGCCTTTTCGGCATATATCGACAGGAATATTGTTGGCAGTTTCTCTCTCTTTACCCTTTGTAGGAGGAGCAATGATCTCAGGCCATTGTCCCTTCCTTCTCTACCAGGAATTAATCCTACCTGATCCAGGCGTATCCACTTCGGCATCAGCTCCTTCAGTCTAGTTGCCAATACCTTAGCGTACAATTTAGTGTTGGTGTTTTTAATAAAGATATGGGTCTGTAACTGGCACACTGTGAGCTATCCTTCCTTTCTTTAAGTATGATCACTAAATAAGCTTGCAATGACTCCCTCATTTCCAACCCCTTCCCTATTGCGTTCATATAACCACGCATTTTAGGGATGAGGGGATCTCTACATTTTTTTTAAATATCCCACAGTATATCTGTCCAGACCAGGGCTCTTTCCTGCGGCCATATTCTTTAAGGCCAAGGTGATTTCCTCCGGTGTAATAGTTCTCTCTACGGCTTCTAATTTTTCAATTTTTTCAGTGGCATACACCATTTTTTCCTTTTCCATCTTTAATTTTTTCTATAAAGTTTTTAGATTTCTTTTCCTTTAACCTCCTCATTAAATATTTTCCAGGTCTATTCCCCTACTGATATCTTTCTTTTGAGACCCTATTGAGTATCCTTTTCGACTCCTGTTCCATGTGATCTTTTAATTTTTCTCTTTTTAAATATTATCTTCTGATATATGTCTGTATCTATCTTCTTTTTATGTAACAGTTCTAACGTATGGAGCTCCTCCATCACCATCTTTATTTTTTTCCCTTGTTCTTTCTTTTTTTCAGCTCCTATCGAAATCAATATTCCCCTGATATATGCTGTCTATGCCTCCCAAATTGTGGCCACCAACACCTCCTCAGTGTCTTTGAGCTCAAAAAAATCTCTCTATTTATTGCCTTAGCCTTTTCTCTATTTCAGGATCCTGTAAAAGCATCTCATTTAATCTCCATATACCATATTTTTCGCTCCATATGACACACCTGACCATAAGACGCACCTAGATTTTAGAGGTGTAAAACAAGAAAAAAAAAATTCTGAACCAATGGACTGCAGACATAGTACAGGAAATGACCAGAGACTGCAGACATAGTACAAGAGATGACAAGAGACTGCAGACATAGTACAGGAGATTACCAGAGACTGCAGGCATACTACAGCAGATGACCAGAGGCTGCGGGCATACTACAGATGACCAGAGACTGCGGGCATACTACAGATGACCAGAGACTGCAGACATACTACAGGAGATGACCAGAGACTGCAGACGTAGTACAGAAGATGACCAGAGACTGCAGACATAGTACAGGAGATGACCAGAGACTGTGGACATAGTATAGAAGATGACCAGAGACTGCGGGCATACTACAGATGACCAGAGACTGCGGACATACTACTGGAGATGACCAGAGACTGCAGACATAGTACAGAAGATGACCAGAGACTGCGGACATAGTACAGGAGATGGCCAGAGACTGCGGACATAGTACAGGAGATGACCAGAGACTGCGGACATAGTACAGGAGATGACCAGAGACTGCGGACATAGTACAGGAGATGACCAGAGACTGCGGACATAGTACAGGAGATGATCAGAGACTGCGGACATACTACAGGAGATGACCAGAGACTGCGGACATAGTACAGGAGATGACCAGAGACTGCGGACATACTACAGGAGATGACCAGAGACTGCGGACATAGTACAGGAGATGACCAGAGACTGCGGACATAGTACAGGAGATGACCAGAGACTGCGGACATAGTACAGGAGATGACCAGAGACTGCGGACATAGTACAGGAGATGACCAGAGACTGCGGACATACTACAGGAGATGACCAGAGACTGCGGACATAGTACAGGAGAGATGACCAGAGACTGCGGACATAGTACAGGAGATGACCAGAGACTGCGGACATAGTACAGGAGATGACCAGAGACTGCGGACATACTACAGGAGATGACCAGAGACTGCGGACATAGTACAGGAGATGACCAGAGACTGCGGACACAGTACAGGAGATGACCAGAGACTGCGGACATAGTACAGGAGATGACCAGAGACTGCGGACATAGTACAGGAGATGACCAGAGACTGCATACCCTAATTTGAGAGGTACCCGCTCCCACTACCACAGAGTTGTCCTCCCCCATCCCTCCCCGCAGTCTTGTGGGACACGTGACAGGTCCCACAATACTAAGGGGCCATTCACAAAGTGCAGCGCTTCTCGCTCATGCACAGTGGGCACCCAGCTGTGAAGTTGCAAGCTGTCACAGCCAGGTGCCCACACTGAAGATGCCAGGAGAGAAGACAGCCGATGGAAGCATGACACCACTGGACCGAAGAACAGGTAGGACAGAGGAGCGGGCTCTTCTGCACAGTAGAGCCGAGCGGCGGGGGAGACAGGGGGAATACCGGGCCAACCACTCCATATTCGCTTCATAAGACGCACAGACATTTTTCCCCATTTTTTGGGGGGGAAAAAAAGTGCGTCTTATGGAGTGCATTAATACGGTAGTTGTTTTCTCCTGATCCCCTCCTGCTCATAGTCTCATTGTGACCGGATCATGATCTGAGATGGACGTAACCTCTATGTTGGAACTAACCAACAACTCCAGTTGTCTATGCTTCATCATTATATAATCCAGTCTTGAATACAATCCATGTATCGGAGAGAAGAAGGTGTAGTCTCTTTCTCTTGGATATTTTACTCTCCAAGTATCAAACAGTTGGCATTGATATAATAACCTTTTCAATAGTTTTAATTTCCTACCTCCCTCTCTCCGTGTACCTGATGTCACATCCAGCTGAGGATCCAGACACAAATTTAAATCTCCTGCCACAACCATATTACCCTTTTTAAATTCAGAAAATTTTCTTAATACACCCTTCAAGAATGTTACTGGGTTTTTATTCAGACAGTAGATATTAACTAATGTATATTTAAAACCCAGTAATTTTCCCCTCAGGAATAGAAACCGACCCTCTGGATCCTCCAATCTCCCCTCCAGGGTAAAATGCACATTTTTTGAAAACCCAATAACCACTCCTTTAGCCCCTTTTAATTGGAGAATCAGAATAGTACCACACTGGATAATACTTCGAATATAACTTAACATTTGTATCATAGGTTATGTGTGTCTGTTGAAGAAACACTACATCTATGGAGAGTTGGTGAATTTCCCTAAGTATCTTATGTCTTTTTGTCAGAGAGTTTAACCCTTTCACATTATAAGTCATAAACGTAATCAGACTCATTTCTACTGTTATTTCACTAACCTACCAGATTTCCCATCAAAGGAAGACAGATACAGACAATTTAAGATATGGACGTTCTCCCTTCCCCTCCCAAAACATCCCCCCATTTCCCCCCCCCCCCTCCCCTCTGTTCACCCACCCATCGCCCTACTTCCCACCTTCCTTTCCCCCTACCTACAGTATCTTACCCCTAAGACTCTCATGGCCTACATATTGCCCTGGAATCTGTTGTGGATTATTCCCACTAGTGATTCCTAATTTGGGGTGAGACTCAAAACACGCACGCCCACTCTAATCCCTGGCTTGAATCATCAGTCAGATTGGAGTCTAACAGCATATTTTACCTCTGGGCCACCCACCAGCTCCACGCTCCCTCAATCCCTTTCACCTGTCATCTTGACCAGGGAGGAAGGTACCGAGGGTGAAGGAGCCATGGTGCGGCCAGTGAAGGACAGGGGGATTGGGGGTAGAAAAAAAAACACCCTCTTTCTCTGAACTTTCCCCCCCATCCTCCCCCGACACCACACCTCCCTACTTCTTCTTCTTGGATACCCACTGCCATTCTCCCAACCCCTGCCTTCCACTTTCTTTAGGCCCCTCTGACCACCCTTCAAGGTCCATTTTCTGTAAATCTAATTTCTCACAAAAGCCACTGAGAGCCTCAGCCTTGCCAATTTCCCATCTTTCCATCTGATCAGGCATGGCGAAAATCCTCAGTTATATTAACATTTTTTCTCTCTCATATGCTCCAGCAGCGGTTTCAGAGATTTTCTTCTAGCCAGTGTCTTTGGAGTAATGTCAGCAAAAATATGCAACTATGTTTCCTCATATTTTATTTCATTAATGTCTTGCAAACTTTTCCATATTCTTTCTCTGGCTTCGTAATGATGAAATTGAACTATCACATCTCTGGGACTTTCCACCTAAACTGTGTTTGGCCGTCTAATCCTATGTACTCTCTCAATTTTCAGATTTTCTGTTGCTGGTCTTCCAATTATTGGGTTACACACTCTTTATTTTCTCCCTTAGATCTTCTTCCTGTTCTTCATCTGGTAAACCATGAATCCTTAGATTCTTTCTTTTATCACAATTCTCCCGTTCTTCCAATTTAAATGGAAGCTTTCTCTGTTTTCTATGCATCTCCTCCACCTGCGTTTCTAATGTATTGATTAATTGAGCGTGTGCTTCCATTCTCCACTCTACTTCTTCCACTCGCGTTAGAATTTGACCCACGTAATTGCATAGTACCCCCATCTCATTTTTCAAGGACATCTCGAGTTTCACGTACATTTTCACCATATTGGTTTTAGTAGGTATTTGTGACATGGCTCCTTGTTGTTCCATGACACTGTCCAAACTTATCAATTTGATAGTCTGGTTCCCTTTTTGGGACCCAGTGATAATCTAGATTGATCTCCATCAGATTTTCTAACTTCTTCTTGTTGTTTTTCCTGAGTTTGATTCTCTGGACTTTTCTCCTGGGGGGGGGGGGGGGGGGGGCATGTATTTTATATTTGTAATAGCTTTTGCACTTGGTTGGGTTTTTTTTGAGCCACCACCTTTAGCGGATTTGCCCTTCATTCCTAATTCAACTCTCCTGTTACTTTTCTATTATCTCAGGTTCCGGTAACTGTCACATAGGTTATCACCTGAGCGTTCCCGCACTGGGTTTTCTGTTGTACTGTAATAATATCATCCCCAGGAAAAGGCCCTTTTTCTTTTACTTCTAGAGATGTTTTCCATCCCTGGTCTATTTTTTTGGGGACAAAAATTTAGTTCAACAGTTCATCCAACCTAAGAGAACCCCCCGTGGTATAGTCCTCTGTCACCCCCAGTACTCCAGTATGTTTGACTTTGATTTGTCACATGTGCATCAGATACAACAGAAGTTTAAAAGTCCTGCCATTGCCCACAGCAAATCACCATCACCCTCCGCACCAACCATACAGGACTGATCAGTCCCTGTTCACTCCTCGGCTCCCATCATGGCCTCCGTGTAGGGCTTACACACACACCTGTGTTGGGACTCTGTGCATTAGTGATGGTCGGAGGGGTTTCTAGGTCTCCTGAGGATAGTGTCTCAGCATAGGGGGGGATCCCTCCAGAACTCTGCTTCTTCTTCGTCCACAGAGCCTCCCTGCTCTCCCGAACCTTTAAGATTTCCCTGTGGGCTGGGCAGTCCTCTAATTCCTGGGCACTCCCAGCCATCACCTCCCGCTCCTGGCCCACTGTGGACCCAGGACTCCTGCACGCCTCACGGCCCCTGCTGACCACAAGCCATCCAGCTGCTCCAGGAGCCCGGCACCAGGAGGGTCCCCCGCACTTGCCAACCACCGCCGTGACTGTCTGGCCACTAATGGATACTGTTCGCCAGACGGGGCCTCCCTCAGGTTGGTTCGGGGCAGTCAGGCACAAGGCAGTCAGGCACACATAGCTGTCGGGCGCCCAGAGAATCATGCTGATCATGGCACCATGTTCAGGCCCCTCTCTTGACCCAAGCAAGCTCCTTCCTCTATTTATCTTTTTTTCAACAAACAGTTTTTTTTCCTCCATACAAGGAGAGAGAGAGATTCAATGTATCTCTCTCTTCCACTGATAGAGAAACAAAAACAAGGAGGGAGGGTTGTACAGTGACTGATACTGTGATAACCAATCAGAGGATATGACAGCAATCATGTGACCCGGATTTTGGAGTCCCAGGTCCTGATCATTAGAATGGGACCCAGGGCTCTCAGTGACATCCTAGTATTTGTTCTGGGAGTGCACTGTGCGGCATGCTCCCAGCACAAAGACAAATACGCAAATATGCAGCCCCATGGAAAATAGCCCAGTTCTGTGAGGCCGCATATTTGTGTTACATCGGTGTGAAGGGGTTAAAATTAACCATTTGAATGGGCTCTGTAAGCAAGTGTTCAAGTGTGCCATATCTTCTGTAGAAAGGTCAGTAGGTCAATGGCTTCTCAGACTAAAATATACACATGGAATGCAGTTAAGAATTAAACAAGAGATAGAAAGGATCTTTTTTCATGAGAATAATTTGTAATCTATAATACAGTTAGTTTGTTATTTAATATACTTAGCTAATTAATTAGTTAGTTAGGAATAGTTTGTGATAGTATATTCTCAATTATGATTGATTATGTCTATGCATTTATGTGTTTTCTGTCCTTAACTGAAGGTTGAACCTGTTTTAAAAAAGAATGTAGTTATGTGATCCTTTAGTATGAAAAGATCATATAGCAGTCTAATTTAGCACTATTATAGTTTCCTGACAAATTCTCTATGTTTCTGTCAATCAAAATATTTTTTAGATAATGTCAGCTAAGAACCATACATATGTTTAGAACACTAACTAATATGGCTATTTCACATTTAGCTCAGACTGAAGTAGGAAATAACTGTGTAGTGGGAAGTCTTCATTGATTCTTTCAAAAATATATAAGAGCAGATTCACATGACAGACAGACACACAGACATTCATACACACATACATACATACAGTATACACACTAAAGCTGACACACACAGACATTTTGCCTGCAAGCTACTACCTCAACAGCTGTTATCTTTTTTGCCTAGAAAAACATCTCATTTTACTACTTTGCAATACAGCAGGCAAGAAGCTCAATATTTTACTAAAGCTTACTATATTTCTATAGCTACTGCTTTTATTACTTAGATTTTTGTTTTTACTACACTAAACTGTGGTTTGCTTTATCTTTTGTATCCATTTATGTTGTTGCCAAGTGTGGTCCAAATAGAGTCACACTTTGTTTTAAATCAGCCTGGCACTCAATTTACATAACTGCCTAAGAAGGACACTAAAATATTATAAATGTCACGATATTTTACACCTAACTGTGGGAGTGAAAGAGAAGATAAAGAAG